ACTCTCAGTAGAGTATAGGTCGTCTGAAGTTCCTCAAGGGCTACTTCCGGCCCCAAACCCGAATAAAGAGGGAGTGTCAGGCATGTGGTTGACGACCCTAAAACTAACTCGCTAAAAAACCATAACCAGAAAAAATAATTCAACATTTATCAGATTTCATAATAAATGATGTATTTACCTTCAATTCATTTCATAAATCTCCTTATCAAAAAAACCCAATGAAAATAATTTAATATCTAATATCTAGAACAGTAAAACTGTTGATTTTTACAAAGACATACAACAACAAAAAATTCACTTTATTACATAACTTATTCCCAATCACTCTACCTTTATTTTACTCTTCTGTTTTATTATATACATATTTCAATAATTATTTTAATTAACAATGACCTACATTTTTTCTATTATATATATGTGTGTTAATTTGAATGGTTACTATGTTCATGAGGGTACTTCTATAGTCGAGTGTGTATGTGTGCACATAAAGATATTTATCATTTTTTATCATTCTATTAAGATCATAATAAATATTGGTAACATGTTTTATTTTACAGTAGATTTATCTGAATTTATCCATCTTTTCATTAACAGATCTAATACGTTTTGTTAAATTCAACTTTATCGTTATTTAATTCATTTGAAAGAAAAACAAAATAAAATAAAATAAAAAAAAGAGAAAAGAAATTCATTTCAACATTTTCTTTGCTTTATTTTTATGTTTTGTTAATGACTATTGATAGAGTTTATTTTTAACTTATCATAACTAAGTAATGAATCTGTGGTGGATAAATATTTTCTATTTCTGTTTTTGATTGAAAGCATGAGTCAATTGAAGCTAGATCAGCATGGAAAACCTGGAAGCGCTGGACGGCCGTTTCGTCCTAGTACGGAACTTCTCAGCAGTGCGCGTCCACGATCCCACACCCCGCGAGATTCGAACCGAGGACCTATCAGTCTCGCGCCAGGCGCTTAACCAACTAGACCCCTTAGCCAACATCCAATGGTGTTAATGTCTAACTTCAACCAATCCACGAAATTGCGAGACCATCTTCCATTGTACTGAGGTAGACATCTATTTCTACCCGACACGGATTAGCTCCCATACTAGGACGAAACGACCGTCCAATGCTTCCAGGTTTCCCATGGTGGTCTAGCTTCAATTGATTCATGATTTCAATCAAAAACTTAACAATCTCCACAACACCTAAACTGATATTTCTGTTTTTTTATAATGATTGATTTTTTCGTTTTAATTCATGAAAAACAAAATGCATTGTAAGCATTAATGTAACCTATCAAAAAATATACAGCAATATAATTATTTTAAGCGAAGATGGATAGTGGTTATAGTGAAATTCAAGACGCATGTTTCGTCTTATTTAAGACTCATCAGCTGGATGTACCTGCCTTTCATAGTTGATGTATACTAATTGTAAACAATTATTTATAGAAAGTTAATAATAATCTGCTCGATTGTACACCTGAATATCCACATTAATTAAATAAAAATCTTTAGAAAATGTCCGTTATGGTAAAAACTTGGTTCGTAAATAAACAGTGTTAACTATTTGTATTAAATTAATTATATGAAGAAAAAATCGACAAAGATACTACATCATTGAATATAAATGAATGCGAATTCTAGAAAGCTGTGATCTTTCATGAAAAAATTCATTTGAAAGAATAAATGAGATTTTTGATTCGTTTTGTTTAATTTATAATGGTATTCATAGGTTTAGTAAAGAACATTCATGTTTGTTAAATATGTCATGGATTAAAAAAAGAACTTAATTCCTTGATGATATATGAAAAGTGAATAATCAAGAAGATAACAAGACAGGTTAACATACAATATGACATAAGGTCTATAACATGTTCTCAATCTAGTAACAAATATACAATCGATAAATTAATGTAGCACCGTAATGTATGCAGAATAAAATAATTAATGCAAAGCTTTCATACTTCCTAAATAGATATTAGAATTTAGAAACCATTAAATGAACTAATATAGGAAATAGTTAACAAACAGAAATATACTAAAGGGTCACATAAAGTATTCTATGGACGAAGGACCTTCAAAAGTATACAAGTGTCTGATATGAAAACAATAATAGTAGTAATAATACTAGATTAAGCATCAGATAAGGATAGAGTAAGGATATGTGATGTTTGAATATACAGTTCAAATTTTATCTAATATATAACCATAACTTTTGTTATTCTAAGTTGAAAAGTAAGAAATCTATTTAGATTTGGCTGAGGCTTGTAAGTCACTTCGAAATAATGAGTTATGAAAATCAATTAAATATTCGAATATCAAACTCATGACCAATTTTTTTATCAACCTCACAGAATGTATTTTTTCAAGTCTGTCAAAGATGAAATTCTGGCTCCAGCTTATGTACATTAATCGTATGATTTAGGTGAGCTGGTAAATGTAAGCAAAAGCAACAAAGAATAAAACTCATCTTTTTATATTTAATCACTATTGAAAATAAGGTACCGTTCAAATGACTATTCATAGTGAAATTATTCATCTTAAATAAAAACTTAGATATGGCTTACAAATCAGTCCTTAAATTCTGTTAAATAAATCTATGGAGATTTCAAAGTATTTGGTTGTCAAACAAGATACTCATTGGAAATTTACAATGAATCCAAGTTTAAATATTACACACCATATCAACATGTTGATAATATTCTATTTTCAGAAAGGGGGTTTGTGACTATTAAGGTAATTTATTAGTTGGATTCATGAGTTGATTACAGCTAGACCACCATGAAAAACTTGGAAACACTGGACGTCTGTCTCGTTCTAGTATGGGACTTCTCAGCAGTGCGCCTCCGTAATCTCACCCTACGGGATTCGAACCCAGAAACTACAGTCCAGCGCGTGATTGTTTAATCTCTAGATCACTGAGCTGGTCGGCATTCAACGGTATTATTGTATAAATTCAACCAATCCACGAAGTTGCACCACCGTCCACTACTGTCTTCAGTGAGTTACTATCTCACAACAGACCTGGTTGATGTCCAGTGGTCACTGCTTCTCACTATAACTGCCAAAAAGAATGGAGTTTTGTAGATATTGTAATAATTTAATGGTTGAGTTCATGAGTCAAATAAAGCTAAACCACCATGGAATACCTGGAAGCCCTAGGAGGCCGTTTTGTCCTAGTGTGGGACTTTTCAGCATTGCACTAGCTTCTTTTTAGAACTTTTCATCATTTCTGAAAAGTACTTTTTTACCTTATGATATAATTTGCTTGAAAAATTCATATCTACATCCAAATACTATTTTTCTATTAAATTATAACATAGTTGCTGTTTTGCCATCTATTTTTAGAAAATCTGTTGTGTATATGAAATTTTCTTATAAGCTTCATCCTTTAGTTATATGTAATACAGTTCAATCTTTACATTTATTAACATCCGTTTATATATTTCTAAATATGAATGAAAGTATATACATATCTATAGAATACAACAGTTGGATAGATTACTTAGTAGATAACTAATGAATTAAGGTTAAATGAAATTCTCTTTAAAAATGAACAACTTTAATTACGAAATATACTCTAACTTGATGAAAGTTTCCATACGTTTCTCTATAATTTAACCACTAGTACCTAACTACAGACATAATTTTAAAGTTTTTTGGAGATTCTTTAATTTCAAACTAGCTTGGAGTAGACTCTTGTACAAATAATATGCATGTACCCATCATCGAATAACTTCCAGAAGAATAGCACTCCAGTTTAAAGGAAGCCCAGATGCTGTCATTTAGAATGCAACACTATCAAAATAATTCACCCGATTTATAAATCTCAACGATCATTTCATAACAATAAATGAATCAATTGAATGATCAACCAACCTGGATAATGTTGACAGTAAAGTAAATGTTGTCAATTATGTTAAATGATAAATTGAAGGTAACAATATGAGTCACTGAAATCCAGTTCACTGGTTTTAAGGAATTGTGCATTAGTTAAAAATGCATAGTTCAACCACTTTTATGTTTATGGCTAGACACAACTAAGAAGTTCAAAATACTACGAAACGGATCTTTAATGCTCTTTAGTTTCCAGTGATCCTTGAACTGATATCGATTCATTATGGGATCTATCTATATATATATGATATTAATTATTATTTCAGTATCTATTAACTAGTGTTTTTTCATCAATTATAATCCATTGTATTTATAACCACTAAATAAAAATCAGTTAATCTCTATGTTAACTGAACGTTTAAGTTAAAACAAATAAAAAAAATTAAACCATGTCAAGTTTTTAATGAAATGAGCAAGATTATCATTAACTTATAAAATTCCCTATCAGATTCATGAATAACCAATCAAAATTATGCAAAATTTTAAATATTATTTGTCAAAAATGTGTTTTTTTCCAAATATTTTCTCATTCATAATTCTACAAAAAATGGAGGAAATTGATGTTTTAGAGAAGAGAAAATCCTTTTTTGTTTTTACCCTTGCCCATTGATAAGATCATTCCATATATATATCATCTAAACCTGTCATTTTTTCTTAAGTTTGTATACAATAATTTAAAATGACTTATATTTGAGGGACTTTTGTGGATATTATAGTAATTTCAATGGTTGAGACCACCATGAAAAACCTGGAAGTACTGGGCAGGAGACGAGATCGTGGATGTACACTGCTGATGAGTCCCACCATAGGACGAAATAGCCGTACAGTACTTCCAGGTTCTTCATAGTGGTCTAGCTTTAATTGACTCATGATCTCAATTATTTAAATGACTTATATTTGTTTGGTATATATATATTTACAATATAAATTATGATTGTCCAAATGCCAATTAAAGGTTTAATAAAGATTATATACATATATCAAATGAATAATTTCATGAATATATGGAGTTATTGTTTTAATCAGTAATCAAATAAGTAATATATTTTTTTATTATATATATATGATTTCATCTTTGATATATGTTTTCTTATTCCAGAGGGGAGAAAATGTGAGAAAATATAGAGAGGAAGTAAGTTTGTGAAAGTTCTATCTATAAGAATGTGAATCCTTTAAGTGTTTAAATATTACATGTGAATTTAGATATTGATTTAGACAAATAACTGTAGTTGCAAAAGATGAATATACATTATTTTAGTTTTATAGTCTGAAATGTTCATGCTATGAAATTGAAATGAATTCAGGACCTTAGATTATACGTGTGAACCCTTAACCTTAAAACAACTGAACCAGGTTCTGATAGTATTTGAGTTGAATTTTGATCAGTCAATAATACTGTATAACTGTACAGTTTCCAGTGTTTTTAATGGGTACGTTTTACAAACCCGAAACGGTTAGTGATCCCAAATAAGTTAAGCAATCTCCATAAATGCATACTGACAATTACAGATATTGTTCAATAAATACGTTGTATTATGGTATGTAAAAACATTCACGAAAGATGATAAAACAAATTCCTTTAGACAGACTATAGAAAAGCTTTAAAGTACCCACAATGATATGTTGTAAGTAATTACAGGAGATTCGAATAAATGATAAAGAATCGTTGACACTCAAAGTAGGATTTATTTTTCAACTTATTATTATTAGTATATATATATATATATATATATATATATATATATATATATAATGTTCGACTTTTAAATTACATCGTGTTCTTATGCACTGTATTAACCATAATCTCCAGTATATACTATAGCGTATGCTAAGAAAGGAATATAATTTGTTTTCAGTGTTAGCTTTTTCTTATATGTTCATGGTCATCTATATTTAAATACCTAATATAAATATTATTGACAAAGGTTAGACAACTTACTGACTTCATTATTATAGCTACATAAATGTTCTTTAATAAATCATCTATTTGTTTCATTTCAGTTTTGTTTATGTGTTAGTCTTGTACTGAATTATTTCAGAGTGGAGCCAGAATTAATATATCAGATGGATCTAGTCCAGAAAGAATTGTCACTATTACTGGAACAACAGAACAAATTTATGTTGCATTTACACTAATGAGTCGTAAATTTGAAGATGTAAGCAAAATGTGTTTGATAATATTTGACTTAATCGGAGATCTTTACTAGATCAATTACTTTTATTATTATTATTATTATTATTGTTATTAGTGGCTTTAGTACAACATAAAATTCTCAGCACAAAGTAATACAACAAGATTCCTCTTCTTATTTCTTGATTAATCCTGACGATAAATATTGAGTGAGTGAGCTAGCAGTTTAGTAATCAACATCTGATTAACGTATATTGTTTTCGACGTATATTGCCAGCAACCACGATGTCTCTGATTGTGCTCTTTCTTAACTTGTACAGAGAAATATCGTAGATTTTTCGCAAACGGATCTAAATAAGTTTTTTAACTAATGGTGTGTTAAAACAAATAAGAAAATCAGATAACTTGTTGAAATATCTAGATGTCAGGAACAGATAGTCCAGATATTCAAGCAGGCCACATTCATATATAGAATGATATTTTGTAATATGTTCTGTTAGCACTATCTGTGAGTAAAAGTTGATAAGTGGTTAATCAATATTCTTAAAAACTTCAGCTAAATATTTTAGTAAATTTCAATGATAGAAATGCGCAAGAAGTGAAAATGGACGCTAATAATTTCACGTTTATTTGCTTCACAAAAAATAAAAATAAACGATCTTGTACGAAGTTATGTAGCACAATGAATTGAGCATTTGTTAGATAGAATTTATTGCTATTAAAAGCAAGTGTAACAGAAGTGAAATCATTTAAAATCATTTCATCATCCTGCAAATGTAAATGTCCCACTTTAATTATCATTACCTATTATAATATGCTTGTCTGGATGAGTACTATATAATGTTTGATGATCTATGATGGTCCTCCATAGATATAATACTAAAATGTCATAGTTTTGTTTCTATATTTTGATGAACATCGTTTGAAGGAATAACAATAAAAACATTTCCCTCTTTAGAATTCTTAATAAAATATTTAAATACATATTTTTGTGAAAAATTTAGGATTTTACACAAGGTTTATTACGAATGGGTGATGAAACAGTCAATTGTCCTCCAGTGACCATACGTTTATTAGTTCCAGTAGCTCAATGTGGTTCAATAATCGGTAAAGGAGGATCCAAGATTAAAGATGTTCGTGAGGTAAGATAGTGAATTGCATTTTGTGATATATTGTCTATTCCTTGATATTCTCATCTCATTTGATTAGGTTTTAGTGAGTTCCATTTTATGGATCAATAGTGATAATAGTTATTACTTTGTATTGCAATTTTTATTATTTTTCTTTGTGTTTGGACATCGTGGATCGTCCGGATAGCCATGATGCTGTGTATGACCCAAAATCAAACACGTAAAGATATAATCGGCAAATGCAATACATTATTATAACAAGTATAACACTTACTTACTTACGTCTGTTGCTCCTAATGGAGCATAGGCCGCCGACCAGCATTCTCCAACCAACTCTGTCCTCGGCCCTCTTTTCTAGTTCCATCCAATTCTTGTTCATTTTTCTCATGTCTATTTCCATTTCCCGGTATATTGTGTTCTTTGGTCTTCCTCTTCTCCCTTGGAGTTGAGGACTCTAAGTGAGGGCTTGTCTTGTGATGCAGTTGGGTGCTTTCTTCAACGTGTGTTCTATCCACTTCCAGCTCTTCTTCCTGATTTCTTCCGCCGCTGGGATGTGGTTTGTTCTCTCAGTGGTAGGTTGTTGCTAATAGTGTCCGGCCAATGGATCTGAAGTATTTTGCGTAGACAACTGTTAATAAACACCTGTATCTTCTGGATGATGGCTTTCTTAGTTCTCCGGGTTTCCACCCCATACAGTAGAACTAACTTGATATTTGTATTGAAAATCTATTCTTCTTCAGACAATAAAATGACATGCATCATTGACGATATATCATAATGCCAAAATTTCTTATACCTTATGAGACCATTGAGAACTGAAATTTATAATTTACACTCTTTCACCTGTCATTTGGGTCTAAATATCGAAATTTGCACTGATAACTAAAATTTATCTATTTGTGAAGTCATATAAAATAATAGTCAGTATTATCTCTTGGCATCCGGCATCCAACGGTGTTAATGTCTAACACAGTGGTCTAGTAGTCAAGTGCTCGCGCGCGAAGCCAGTAGGTCCTGGGTTCGAGCCCCGCGTGGTACGGGATCGTGGACGCGCACTGCTGAGGAGTCCCATAACAGGACGAAACGGCCGTCCAGTGCTTCCAGGTTTTCAATGGTGGTCTAGCTTCAACTGACTCATGATTTCAACCTGTGAAATTTCTAAACCTCTCCACAAAACCCATTCTGATAATTTTATAATTGTTATCTCAGTTTCTATACTTTTCTAATCATTGACCTATTTCAGATTATGTAACATTGATTTGAACCTTTATTATTATTGCTTATCAAAAACTAATGCACCTGTTGTCACACCATCAATTTGTACTTTTCACATTTTACTTATTATGTAATCTTTTCCATTGTTATCATTGACTTATAAACTACCATGATTGGTTTAATAATTTCGTATATGCATAAAATATTACTGTATATTAAAGTAAAGCCTGATGAGGATCTAATCGAAAACAGTATTGTTCGCTTGTATATGTTGTTCTAAATTTACAATATGGGAATATTTCAAAATTCATTTTATTTCATTTCCTTCCCATCACCTGCTTACAACTACGATACTTAAAAGTCCTAATTACAAAATAGAGTTAAATTACTTAAATCGAGCAGTTTAGTTGAATGTTGCTTTGAAGACACACTAGTAAGTACAGAAAAGGGTACAAATAAATCTAATAGATTGAGATAAATAAATACCTTATGTAAAATAATATTCTACAACACTGATAGTAACAAAGTCCAAAGAGCTGGAAACAATTCATTACGTACAGAGTAAACGCCGATAATAAGTTAGAATAAAATGAGTTAAGCTCAGTTAATGAAAATAAAATTACTGAACTAGAAGGCAGTCTAAATAAAAAGACTTAACCATGTAACTGATTGAAGGAAGGAGTTGAACTAAATTTTATGATGTAATGAAGGGATATTTGTCATCAAGGCAAAGACAGACTAACAACCACCTTCTTTCAAACACATAAATCAGTTTTCTGACACCTGATAGAACAGGCTCCAATAAACTTCAGAAGATTGGAGCTTGACTGTTTATTAATTATCTTGAAAGATTATAAGGTATCAACCTGATGTTCTGTATCCAAGATATGTTTAGTAACTGCTCTGTTTAAGTAGTTCTCTTATTTACTTGAAAACGTTTTGTAACATGTACAAAAAATCTACAAAATGCCTCCTTTCCTGTTTGACCAATGTGGCTATTTTTGGCAGTTACACCCAAATTTATAGATGCAATAACATGTATGGAGTGTTTTCGACCTACAATTGAGATATTGAACACGGTTTTTTAGTATTATAGCTCTTACATAAAAATTAGTATGATACAACCACCTATGCTTTAATTGGTTTAACCAGATTGGTTATTATTCGTTTAATTAGAGAGGACCTTGGTTGTGAGTATTTATATTTGATAAAAACTTTAAAAAAAACATCAGTTTTATTGGAATCAAATCAGTATCCAATTTTTACTCCATCTAATCTTATGGTTGAACTTTTTGTTGACTGTGTAAATGTTTATGTTCATAACTGATGTTTGAATACGTGTAGAGAAAAAAAACTCTTTTAGTTTGTTAACATGCTTAGAAACTATTAGATAACATGTTGAATATCATGTGTTCACCTATAATTATCAAACCTTGTTTCATGTTCAAATATATATGCATTGTACATTGTAAACCTCATTTTCAGTCAATATTGACATTAGTCAGTAAGATAACTCTATTTGAAAGATATTTTGTCTAATTATTCACAAGAAACATACAATATTTGTGACAAGATTTCCTTCAATGAAAAATACATAATTTTCAACTATATTTACAGTTGACTTGATTTATTACTACAGTATCCTATTAATGGATAAAATGTTGTACTGTGTCATAGAAACAAATAACAAACTCAGGAAATAGTATACGATAAATTTAGGTCACATAGATTATCATCTCATTTAGTTAACATGTAATATTAATCATAATTATTCAACTATTCAATGAACAACCATAGTAAAGTAATCTCAAGTATACGAATTAAACTACATTCAACTATTTCACTAAACATACAAATAGGAAATCTTTCAACTTAATGCTTGGTTCAATGAATCTTTTCTTCTTTTTTTTTTAAAACAAAAATTTAACATTTTCAGGAATACTCTATTCTCACTTCCTGTTCCTAATTATCATTATTATTATTAGCTGATTTGCATGATGTTCCGTTTCATTTAATTGGTAATAGAGATGTGAATGATTTACATAGTATGAATGTATTTTCATTATAGAATAAAATTATGCAAATTATCAAATGTTATTTATTTATGAAAAACAATTTAAAATGAACAGAGGCAACTTTTAAAATGAAATAGTCTTACAGGGAAAATGTATTTTGTTGAAAGAACAAAACAAACAACAATAAATTATAGGTTGTTAAACCAAGAATATACTACTTTTTTATTACTGAAATTATTGAAAGCATATGTCAATAAGCCATAAAATTGAAAATCTTATATGTCAGTTGTTGTTGTTGTTGTTAACTTATACTTAAAATTTAAAGTGATTTAATCTTAAATTCTCTTTGCATTGTGTGCTTGTATCGCCTTATTGTTGTTTACGACTGTAATTGATCAAATTCCTATTGGCACATGTGCATTGGGTGACGGTTGTCTCAATAATGACTTAAGTCACAAGCTTTTTAAGCAAAGATGGATGATGATCATCAGTGAAATCCAAGAAGCCTGTTTCGTCCTATTTGGGACCCGTCAGCTGGATGTACCAACATCAACTATTGGATGTAGGTACACCCAGCTGACTAGTCTCAAGTAGAACAAAACAGGCGTCCTGGATTCCACTGCTAGCCACTATCTATCTTTGTTTATAATGCTTGTGACTTAAGGCAATATCGAGGCTATCCGAATAGAATGCACATATGACAATACGAAACTGATCAATTGCAGTCCTAACCATCAATGGAAAGATTCAAACAAACAATACAAAAATGAATTGATGCTATTCCATGTTTTCATTAATCATTTAGTTAACTGGTGCATCAATTCAAGTTGCTAGTGAAGCTTTGCCGACATCCACAGAAAGAACAGTTACAATATCAGGTACAGCGGAGGCAATTTCCAAATGTATTCGATTATTGTGTGATATATTTTTAGAGGTATGTGATTTTTTTAAATTCACTTCGTTCGTTCACTTTTACATTGACTAAAATATTTTTCTCGAACCAATTTGAAGTTTCCTGTTTAACATTATGGTGGAGTTAGAAATTAAGATATCGATTTTTAAAGAAATAATTAATACGTAATGGACTTTGGGTAATGATCCAAGATACAATTTATAATTTCATAGTGGAAAGTTATAAGATCTTATTGAACTATTATTTAGTTTCTTTATCAGAATGAGGTTTGTGTAGACTGTAGTAATTTTAATAGTTGAATTAGTGAAAATTATCTACCTCAGACAATGGATGAATGGTTACTCATACATTCATGGATCGATGGAAGTTAGACATTAAAACCGTTGGATGCCGACCAGCTCAGTGATCTAGAGGTTAGGCGTTTGCACGTGAGACCGAAGGTCCTGAGTCCAGATCACGCGTACAGGATCGTGGATGCGCACTGCTTAGGGGTCCCATACTATGATGAAATGGCCGTCCAGTGATTCCAGGTTTTCTATGGTGATACTATGATAAAGAGGAAAGATATCTATAGGTATCATGTTAATTTAAATTACTGACTTAAGAGACGAAGTATCTTAGCTTAGTTTTGTATTCCTTAAATCACAGAAGCATTAATTGTTTCTCGTAACCTCTTAGTTCAATATGAAAATAAAAGACAGTAAATGTTGTTTAGTTTTAGCTACTGTAAAAGGTGTCAAGATATAGTCTGTAGTATTTTTTTAAAAAGTTACAATAAGATTAGTTATATCAAAACGTCTTGATGTGGAATAGAAACACAGTTTCAATACTCGATTAATAATATAAAATTTTTCAATATAATAAGTTTTCAGTCTGTCGTTTGTTTCACAGCAGTTTTCTACATCATTTATTAAGAACAAAATATTACTAACAATTGTTATCGCTTTCAATTCACAGTGCCCAAATAAAGGTCCGGTCATTCTTTATCGACCAAAACCCGTGATTGGTAATCCAGGATTAATATGTCCTGCCACTACATTTTCATCTGGTTTACTGCATTCAAACTTGTCTGGACTTCCACTTTCAGTGTGCGAGGTTAGTTAACATGGAATTCGTTTTGTAAATGAATATTCAAAGTAAATTAACGCCTTTGCTCATCATGTTTATTTGAAGTATTTAGAATAATATATCATTTCATTTGAATATGATTAGTTATTGTTAACGTTTGTAGCTTCATAAGTGAGGCCACCAAATTACTCATCATCATCAACTTCTAAAGTTGATTTTTGTTTTTATAAGTGTAAATGGCATCAAAATATTCAAAAATCAGGAGAAGAAATACCATTAAAGCAGCCTAAAATAACCTATTCCACATAATGATCCCGATTAAACCAGAAGAACGTCTAGCTTTCCTACATTATCTTTTTAGTATACATTCTAACTTCAAGTCAAAAATATATAGTTATTAATTTGGTATAATAAAATCTTTATAAAGTATATATGTCATGACAGGCATACATTAGTTAAATAAGACCTAGAGTAACTGTATATTAGGTCGAGTGAGTATGTTCAACTCTCGAAAAAGGGTGTCAGAGAAAGATCCATTGTACATATTATAAGAACTTTCATCATCATCATTATTATTTGGCTCCCTTTCTTTTTTCTTCACACTGCGAAAACTTTAAGAAAACTATACAGAAATCATCATTAGACTAAAAATTATAAAATAATGAAATGAGAGAGTACAGAAATTTAGTCTTAAAAGACAACACTTGATCGGATCATTAAATTTAATTATAAAACATGGTTTCATATTCATAAATAATCATTTTATATTTTGAAACAATAGAATACAAAATTCTGAAGAAGAATAATTATAAACAGCCTGAAAGTTCAGAAGCTTTCAATATGTCTATAAAAATATCGTAAGCTTGTAGTGAACAAGAACACGGTGGAGACAATCGAATGAACCTATCACAAAATTATAGACTATCTTAATAAAATCTGAATATCATAAAGTCAATTGTCAATTTGCAAAATATTAATGCATCATATCAAACTGGACTGTTTCCGTTGCAAACACTAATCCATTGTCTCCCATTCCATTGTACATGCGTTTTCTTAAAAATTCCATTGTGCTCTCGCTCTTCCTTTCTTGATCTTCACCTCATCTTCTGCTGCCAGATATTTCGTTTTAACTCGCGACATATACTACTTATATCAATATAAGTAGCACACACCGCAAGCTAACTCTAGACATCATTTACTATTGTATTCAATTGATCAATAATATTTCTCTCGATATTATTTAACCAAATAAAGAAGGAAACATCAATCAGGAGCTGAATATTATACTTCTTTATTTTGCTTCTTTCTTTTTCTTCTTCAATTGTTCAGTATTGTATTCAATAAAAGAAATTTAACATGCGACTAAATATAAATCATACTACATTTGACTGGAATATTCTAATCGCTAAGTGTACTAAAAAGAAAAATGGTGCACTTTACACTTGAATGTAAACTAATTTATAAAAAGAGAAAGAAAAAGAATTGAAGTTTGTTATACTTTTTATTCACATTACATTGTTTGACTATTCTTAAGAATGAATATGATAGAAGAAGATATAAAGCCTACACATTATTTTAGATATAGTTTTCTTTGAAGTTTAACAGAGATTGTTTAAATCTCTTCGTTAAATTCAACAACACACATTCTTTCTTAGAACAAATCGTTTATCTTGTAAATATGAAATATAATAGGATAATCTTAAATATATTTTGCATTTGACTATGGTCATAATGAAAAGTTAGGTATTCAGTGTTGTATATATATATATATATATATATATATATATATATATATATATATATATATATATATATAATGTATAATGTCCTAACCTAATATGTTCTATGAATCAATGTTTAGACTGTTAAATGTTGTATAAGAGTATATGAATGAAGAACAGTTTAAAAAGCTGTTATTTAAGTGAATTCCAAAAATACATTTTATATATTCAATGTTTAAGAAGTTGAGATTTATTGTAAATCATTTATGGAGTTAGCTAAATTCTATTGTAAACATTTCTTTATAACATTATCGAAGGTATTTAAAATCTGGCTTTATAAGACGTTTATAGTTTATTCAATTTAAAAAGATACTTTTGTTTTATATGATGTTTGTTTGAATTATGAACTTGCGTTTAGAGTGAAGTGAGTTTTGAAATGAGTTAAGAAAAATAAACATTGATGTAATTTGACTACTGTATTTCGATGCCCTTTACATTCAGTGATAAGGAAGATTTCTGGATCTACCACTTTATCTTGATCAATGATTGGGTCACTAAAGTTTTATTTATATTTTATAGACCTTTCTTTCAATTTCTTGATAAAATTGAGATTGAAAGTGACTAAAAATTACATTCATTTGCCTTTCATTATTCATAATTTTACTGAAACAAGAATTCACATGAATCAGGATATACTACACCAATGTTAACATCAGCCTCGTTATTATCAAACGAAGTGAACTCTGTTAGTCCAACTACTTTAAATAGAACTTATACAAACCAGTTTGGGATACCGTCTGGTATTTTATCTGGAGGAACTGGAGTATCTGGTTCATGTAATGTTGGATGTAGTGTTAATAATACATCTATTGTACCTAATCTACCTACAGCAAATACTATTCAATCTCCTCTAACAGTAATTGGTTCTGGTCGACCAGTTAGTCAAATGTCAGATCTCATTTCAGGTAAGGAAATAAATTCATTTATTCTGTTATTATTGTCAAATTTAAAAATCAATAAAACTAACAGAACTGTCGATGAAAGATATAAATAACAGCCTAATATATTTGGGTATTAAACCAATGAAAGAGATAATTTGTTAATAATAAAATAAAGGTTTCAATGATATGAATCTATTTCAAGTTTTGATTTATTTATCTCCAGAGTTCCGGAAAACTATGAAGTCATGGCCATGTACGTTTTAGTCTGTTCACTTAACTATGACTAGGGTTTACATATATATACTAATCAACACACGGTGGATTCGGTCTTTCGATAATGATCATTATTTTCTTGCATAATATATAAGTAAATGCAACTTTCACGTATTTCGTTTTTGTAAAATTATTTTTTTACAAAATCACCGAGAATTATTTGACTTATATGCTAGTCTGAGATTATACATCATGAAATTGACATTAGAATTCATTATTACCAATTATTTGTAATAGCATTCAAATTACTGACTATTCCAAAATTGTTATGTCTTTATGACCTGTTAATTATCACGTGATATGATCACCATTTAGAACACTAACTTATTGACCAGACGAATGACTCGTAAACCATTATGAGCAGTCCAGAGTCAACTCTGAGTTCTTATTGATACGTCAAGATAGTAGCTTCCGGCCTAACTTAACCGATTCAGTTCAGAAAACTAATATCAGCCTCCGCTAAATGAATCATGTATTTCAGACATGCTGGGCTTATATACAGACAAACCAGATCACACTATACCATAAAATAGAAAATAATAATTATACAGTATATATATATATATATAATATTAATCCATAAATAGATCCCAGCGGTTACTATTCACTTATTCTTCGTCCCGATATAACAAAGATAATATTTTTTACAAAGCAAAACAAAAAACAACAATCAAATAATCTTGAACATCTGTTCAGTTCTACTTTTAATCAAAATAATTTTATCACTATTGATAATCATGTCTAATAGAAATATACAAGTATTACTTTTAAATAATGCGATATATCATTTTGTTAAATGACTGTTCACTTCATTATTTGTTATCAATGTGTTATAACTTGTCGTTTGAATGCTTATTGTGTTGGCTCTTTTAATGCTACTTCTTGTATCTGGTCGTCGCTGATTATTATGTCGGAAACGCTTATCACTTTTACTCGGAACGAGGGACCTCTGCAATTCCCACGATGCGAAAGTAAGAACATAGAGATTGGTATAAGGGATGATTTATTAACCCCAAAATACGACGACAACCCTAGTAGAAAATACACTCATTTGTATATTGACTGTACACCCCTTTTGATTAATAATTAGAATGAAATCACATATATAACAAATCACATACTGAGCATAGTTCATGTCAATGAAATACAAGAATATCGTGTATTATACAGAATAAAATATCATACGAGAAAAGGAAACAAATACTACATTGAGTAATCACTACATCGAATCAAAACAAAAGTAATCTTGAACAAAACTCATAATGAGTAAATCAATCGAAAATTGACTTTTCTTTCCATCATATCACAATGTAAATAGTTTGGCAATTTTATTTTAAAAAAAATTAAGTTTACTAGTATATGATCACATTAATTAAATTTTTGTAATAAATGTTAACTTATATAAATGAACATTTATCACTGATTACTTTTACTGATCAATTTCAAATAACTAGCTTCCAGATAGATTTCTCATAGTTCTTGTGAGAAGCTGTAACCAACAGGGTGTATTTCGTGTCGAGTGTGAAACAATTATCCATCTCACACAATGAATAAATGGTTGCATAAGATTATAGATCAGTTAACGTTAAACAATAACACCGTTGGATGCCAACCAATTCAATGGTCTACATGTTAAGTCTTCTGAGTTGATGTGCGAAATCATGGATGCACATTGATGAGGTATCACATACTAGAACAAACCAGTCGTCCAATACTTCCCCATTTCTAATTCATGAATTTAACCATTAAAACTTTGTTTCGTTTCATTTATTATCGACGTATTATTTAAAATAATTACTGAATAATCACTATTTCTTACTGTTATTATAATCATCATTATTCTTATCCCTAACAAGACGTCTATATGTTTTTGTTTGTAAAAAGTAAACTATCATATTGTATAGAAAAATGTCAGCATAAACTTTACACATTCATATAGAAGTGTATTTTAGTTCACTGTTTTATAAAGAAAAGTATAAAAGTATATTCTTTAGAAAAAATAATTGACAATAGTTTGTAACATAATTCTTACCTATATATTTATCTATATAAAGATATATATGTGTGTGTACACTTAACTTTAATATATTTTTGTTTAAATGTTATTTAATTTAAAATATTTATTTTAGTTTAAACAAAATATTCAAGTGTAAATGACAAACGTTTAAATGTTCTTTACCATGTTCAAATGTCAAACTACATGATGAAAGAAAAACATATGTATATATAGATATATAACAGAAATAGGTGGAAAATAACGAAACCAGTTTATAACCTTTTTTAAGTAGAAAGCATAAAAAAGACGAAAAAGAAAGAAAGAAATATTATATATATATATATACATCATATAGGTTTACTATTCAAAATATAAGTAATCAGTTATTTTTTTGAAAATATATACAGGATGTTATTAATCAGAAATATATTTTTTTGATGGTAACTAATATCAGTCAATTTCTTTTCTTTTGCTTTTTTTCTTTTTTTGTTTATTTCTTTAAGAAGCGTGAGTTTGAAACCATCACCAGACTTTATCTTGTTTTGTTTTTGTTGTGTAGTTTGTTTTTTTTTGGTTTAACTAGAAATCAGTATAAAAAAAATACATATTAAGTATGTTATATTACTTAATCGTCATATCAAGAAATATTTTAACCAGCTTTTGTAAGATTTTTTTTAACCATTTTGTTAATAACCAATAGGATCAAACTGAATTCATTCACTATTATAGATCAAATGGATATACCATTGCTTTTTTTGTTGTTTGTTATTTAGTTAACTATTCATAAAAATAGTTTAATTACAGCTCAGGAACCTTAATAGTGTTTTTATAGTGTGTTTTTTTAATCAATTATGACTGCTTATCAGTTAGACAAGTTGTACATAGAATGCTCACTAGTGACAGTCTCCAAGAGGTATTTCCTGAAGTTCTAGTTAGAAGCAGTGACCAGTGAAGCTCGACCGGATCTGTTGTGAAATAGTAACACACTGAAGTGAAGGGTGGGCGGTGGCGCAATTTTGTGAACTAGTTGAAGTTAGATATTAACACCGTTGGATGCCAACCAGCTCAATGGTCTAGTGGTTAAGCGTTCGCGTGCGCGACTGATAGGTCCAGGGTTTGAATCTCGCGAGGCGGGATCGTGGATGCGCACTACTGAGGAGTCTCATAATAGAATGAAACGGCCGTCCAGTACTTCCACGATTTCCATGGTGGTCTAGCTTCAATTGATTCATGAATTCAACCATTAAATTACCACAATATCCAAACCCCTCTCAAATTATAATAGAATTAGTTGTTGAATGTGTTCAACTGGCAATCATTTAAATAGCGAATAAATAACTGCACTGATTAAATTTATGAGAAACATTCTAGCTGATAGTTTTTTGTACGTCACTTCATGAAACAGTTGTTTACTTCATTACTTCATTAAATATAATAAAACAAATAAATAATTTCATAAACCCAATATTCCTTATTGTCAGTGACAATCCTTGTAACATTACAGTCGGTTTGAGAAATTCTAATGCTATTAAGTTACATAAAATTGACTCATTCTAAGTAAGTTCTAATCACGAACTCCCCGAATTCGGTAAATACTCTTCAAAATCAATTATTTCTAAACTTCTAAATATATTTAGTTCATTTTTGTATTAGTTGTTGTACATAGGAAGAAACATGCATTCTGGATTTCATTGCTACCCACTATCTATCCAGAATGGCACTCATAAATGTCGATTATTTCACTAATTGAATGAATGACATTATCTATAATAATTTACAAATTGTATTCAAAGATATAAAAAGATCCTAAACAATGGATATCACTTAAACTAGTCTCTTTGTTAATAATGTTATGAGAACACTATTAATATGAAATACCGCTACTGAGTTTTCCTTTCTGTGCTTGTGTTTGTTACGACGTTATCTAGAGAACGTCGTTCTTAAACAAAAATGATGCATAATAATGATGTACTATATAGTGTTTCGAAATATACTATTCATCAAGAATTTTTAAATACTTAACCAGAATTCGAAAATATTCCGCATTATTATTCACCATGATTTTGACTTCATTATTATAACTATTGCAAAATCTAATCGTTTTATAATTACATAATATCTATTCATGTTTAAGGTGAGACTATAATTTATATGCGATCGTTCAGAGACGTCAAAGTACCCTTATGAAAATTTACCCACCTACTAGAGTTTGTAAAAAAATCAAAAATTAATGTAAAAAAAGAATTAAACTTTAAATTTTCATTACGAATCAACATCAACTATAATTACAAAATGTTATCTAGTCATATGAATAAATAAATTTTACGCGAAAATTCAAAATTCTCTATCTTAAATCTGATTGGCTCATTCATTAAATTATATTGTTACCATGTATAAAATTGAAAAAAAAACAAAATGAATAAAGAAAATATTTAAGATTAATTTGCCAGGTATTTTGATCAAAATTTTTTTTATTTATATCCTATCAAAAGTATATATATACCTAAAATACATATTCCATCTATTCTAATTCTAAAAGTAGTATCTCTATACAATCATATCTGTCTGCTTATATTCCTGTTCATTGATGTATAATACATGAATAATGTGCCTTATTTGTGTGTTTTTTCTTTCTTACTTGCATTTGTTTCTCTTTATTTTTGCTACAATTTTGTTTTATATCTTAATTTTAACATAAAACTAAATAATCAAACTAAGTAAAGTAGACACTTCATATGATTATCCATTCACCTGTTGTTTACACATTTTATTTATCTAGATATTTGAATAATTGAAATTCTTCGACTTTTTCGTCTGTTGTCTATTATGAATTCTATTGGTAATGCATTGAGATCTAATAGAAATAGAAGTTATATTTTTCTTTTAAAAAATCATGATTAATTCCTAAGTTATTATTAGTTTTATGTTTCTTAATACTTTGGGATTATTTAGATTCTTTCAAACATGTCAATCATCTTGTCAATAATCCATGTGACTTAATATTCTGGTGTATAAATATATATAGATGTTTAACAAGAACTCCAGAATAATTATTTCCAATTTTGAAATTGATAAACTTTAAGTAATATGATAAAATGTATAACAAGTCTTTAGCTATAAGACATTGTGAAATACTATACGCTGACTTATACGACGCATACACGAGTAACAGAAGCCAAGAGTTCCGATTGGTCCTTTTTCTGCTTAGTCCTACCTGTTAAGTCCAGAACGTTAATTTCAGCGTCCGTGATACGAATCATATATTTCAAACATACTGGGTTTATATACAAACAAATTAGACCACATCATACCATAAAATAGGAAATAATAATTGTACAAGATCAAGACAAAAAGAGCTTGTGATTATGAGAAACTGTATCTAATTTATTAAGAATAACTTGAGAATAGTAAATCATATGACAGTAATCAATAGATTAATTAAGAGCTTGTAATAAGAGAAATGTAAATATATATAATTTAGTTACTTGACAGTTATATATTAAGAATGATTTTATCGTATTAGTCCATATATAATTCCCAACGGTTACCATCCATTTATTCCGGTCAGGTTATAACAAAGTTGTATGCATATCTATCACAGTAGATACCAAATTTTTCACATTAAGTAACATATAAATAAAACGCTTATTATTGCCTTAAAGCATTCTGAATTAAATCAAGAAATATAAGTCAATATAAGAACATTCATTCAAACATATTGATAGTATTGTAAATTTCTTCAAATTAGAATGTTTATGCTGCCATACATCAATAAACATCATATGGAAACAAATTAGTTTAAGTTGGCTTAATGTAGTCTCTTTTTTTAGATGATTCCAAGTATTCTTTGGAAAGAATAATGTTACTAACAGAACTCTTTTCAATAATTCTAGTACAGTTTTGAGAATTATTATACTTCAGATATTTATTGTTTTCAATAGTAGTTAATTAACACTAAAAAACTAAAAGGAGGATATTTATTCATCAATGAGAATTTAAACCATATTGTTCCCTGTAACAAAAGTATAATTAATAATGTTCATTGTCTATACTATTGCATAGAATAATGTTTTATGTCAGATTTCCTCGTAAAAATATTTCATATAATGGTTGACCCAGCATTCAATGCCAAAAAGTTAGTTACTATGGTTTACGTCTAGTAATATTTTAAATTAAATTTACCTAATACTTGGAATTGTACATGAGTTTCATACAACATTATGTTTTTCATTGTACAATAAATGTTATTCTTCTTTTTTGTTTATAGATCAAGTTCATTTGTTTGCTACATTGAATCAACTAGATTTAGCTAACTTTCAATCATATTTTTCATCGATTTTGGCTCCATTACCAAATACAAATCCAATTGCAACTGGGATGCATTCCATTGGACAACCTTTGAATATGCCAGAAATAGCTCTTACTCCTGGTATACTTGGTTGTTACCCAACTCCAACAGCTGCTGCTTTACCAATTGTTGGTTCACCTAATAACTATATGTTTTCTTCACCTACAGCTCTTCTTAAAATATCAAATAGACTGCCTGAAGATCAATTTACAACATCAACATCTAATAGTCTTAGTGATATAATTGTTAATCAATCTGATATATGCATGAATAATAATAGTAACAATGCATCACCAAATAATTTATCCATCTGTAATGGTTCATTACCTATTGACTCAAATAATAATTATACATCACTTTCAACTCCAATAGATCCCATAAAATCAATTTGTGGTCTACAGAATACAGCATCTTTACTTGGTCTTCCATCCCTGTCAATCAATACAATTTTAAATCCTCAACAACAAAATTCATTATTTTCTTTGGCTAATACAGAAGAGAGTATTATTGTCCGAGAGATGATTATTTCTAATGATGTAATCGGTTGTATTATTGGACGTGGTGGTACAACAATCAATGAAATTAGAAATGCATCTAAAGCACAAATCAAAATATCCAACTGTGAAGATGGTGCAAAAGAGAGAAAAATAACAGTTTCTGGAAAGTTGGATTCAGTAAATTTAGCTCAATTTCTTATAAACAGCAGGTTAGTGATCACAACTCTCATTCTTCTCTCCTTCTTTTATTCTTCACTTATTATCTGTTTCTTAATCTAAATATTATTTACTCCAAGTGAAAATAGAATATTTGAACATAAAAAAGGTTCAAATAACTTTATATCAAGTGATGTATTACACTATGATACATGGCTTACCTTTAGATTTACATTAAGCTTTCCAGCTACAAGGCGGTTCTTTCTTGACATGTAAGCCCATCATCTGGAATTTTGCATGCTAAAGTTATTTGCTGGGCTACTCAGTATAATATATCCACAGTCCTATATATATTCAGTAAAATAGGTGCTGGTAAACATATCGAATGTGAAAATCGACTAGTCTTTTAAAATTTTAAAGTGTGTCATCATAAATTTCCCAATATTGTTACTATTATTAATGGTTTTATTCAATATTTAATATTGGTACAATATAGAATTCTCAGCAAGAGGTATTTCAACAAGTTTCCTTTACAAAAACAAGGAAAAGAAATGAAAAAGGTGAACTTGTACAATTTTTCAATTAGAAACATGTTTAAGAATACAAGTTATTGACTAGGTCAACTCTAACAACTTGTTCATCACAGAGTATATTTGCTAGATACGATATTGTAGAACTTTTATACTTTTGCTTGTGTGCATGAATTTTTATGTCATGAGGTCTCGTTTTATCAAAAAGGTATACAAAGAGAAAGATAAGAATGAAGAGGATGATTAGCACCTGACAAAATAACACCTATCAGGAGTTTGCAAGACTTTAAATGTCTATGCACAACCATAATAATAATGACCTCAAAAGATTCCCCACACACTCCGCTAACTGCCTTTAGCATTTTCCGCAATACAGCAAAGCCTTTTGACAAAATTCCGAGAAAGAATAACGGAAAACAGTAAAGAATATTAGGTAATATGCAAGAATTGACAAATTGTAAGATTCAATATCATGGAACAGTTACTGTATCAATGCAAACATAAGATTAGGTTCTATAAGTAGTATAAACTGTTATTTTGGATAATAACTTGAACCAAATAAAATTCTGTAGACTTCCGAAAGAAATGTATCTTATTCAATGCTATTATTGGAAATATTTTATCTGAAACTTCATTCAAATACCATTAAACCTAACAAATTTACAGAATGAATTTAATACTTGAAATAATACAATAGGTATTTAGATTACGTAAAACTTTAGAGTATCCTTTAAACAGTTGAGATCATGAGTCAGTTGAAGCTAGACCGACATAGAAAATCTGGAAGCATTGGACGGCCGTTTTGTCCTATTGTGGGACTCCACGACCCCGCCCCGCGATACTCGAACCCAGGACCTATCAGTCTCCGGCCAGGCGCTTAACCAACTAGACCACTTAGCCAGCATCCAGCGGTGTTAATATCTAACCTCAACTAATCCATGAAATTGAGCGACACATCCACCATTGTCATCAGTGCGTTACTACCTCACAACTGACCCGGTTGAACTCCACTGGTCACTGCTTCTCACTCGAACTCCAGGATATATATCTTGAAGCCAGTCATTAGTGAGCACATGTTGATTAGTATCAGAAGGGGTTTTGTGGAGATTGTAGTAATTTAAACAGTTGAGATCATGAGTCAATTGAAGCTAGGGTATCCCTTCATAAATACTTCATTTCACTGAATTGACACAACTCAATGTTTTGACTAAAAATATTTTCCCTAATGAATAGTCATCATGATTATCAGAGACGTTTTTTTAAAGAGAAAAAAAAGAAAAAAATGTTTGATTAATGTACGCAGATTTTATTCGTTAGACGACTAATTAATACATTACTCTCAACGACTGTATTCTGACATCTATGATGTAATTGAATTGAATGTTACTTTTTTCGTTGTTGGGTAAAAATGAAATTGAAAGTATAATTAATTACCTAGTCTATCTAGATTTAGATGTTTCTTGAATTTTAATGCATGTTTAATTGTACTACATTGAATTGCATGATGAATTCATCATTATTTATGCACGTAATTATTTGCAGTATTTTTTTCTTTTTTTCCACCACACTGACATTTCACTTTTATTCATTCTACTACTACTACTGATCATAATACTGATAATTTCTATTTTCCAAATGTCATGCATGTTGGTCTTTCAAATTTGCTCATTGACTCTCTCCCTCTATTTCTCTCTCTCTCTCTCTCTCGCTTACATCCATACAAACATATACACTCAACTACACATATACGCATTAATGCTACATGACGTCACATTGAAAAAAATACCATCGACAATATTAATTGCATAAAAAATGTCCTTCAAAACTTGTTAACCTCAACTTATAATTGTGAAATAATACAAATATTTTTTAAAAAAAACATTGACAATCAGTATTGCAATACATCGAGAAATGTGGGCATTTAATGTTCGATTAGCATCAGCTGCAACTGCTTTAATGACTAAAAATAGTTTAATAATCAATTCATTAAATAAACATTCTGAAAACCATAATAAAATATATTTGTCACCATTGAAGAACAATTGTGAACATATTGATTATAGTTTATTTCAATCAAATATTCCAATGAATACTACAAACACTTCACATATGAATTCATCTTCATTATTGTTACTAAAAGAAAATCTATCACCTGATTTACATGAACAAACAATGGATTGTTTTCAACCAATCTATGAAGATGATAATCAATTGAGTTTAAAATTTAAATCTAGTCATCGGTTGACCAGGAGATCAAGAATAATACCTTACTAAATTTTTATTGAATATTTAGTTTAGTTTTATTTTTGTTTTCTTAATAATTCTCAAAGTTTAATATTGATTATTTATTAAATATGCATGTCATGTCATGGGAATTGAATTGCATCCTCATATGAAATTAGTGATGATTTGAAAATAACAATGAATTGATATATTGAATAGATTTTATCTGTTTTCCATTACATTTGGAATGTAATTAAAATCTGTTTCTTCCGGTGTTTAATTAACACGAATGCTGACTGCATATAACTATTATTTTAATGTATATTCTACAGTATAAACTACATAAAAGTCATTGAAGTCTATTACTGTTTCATTGTTTTATGGCGATTCATAACAGGTATAATAATAATAATAATAATAATAATAATAATAATAATAATAATAATAATAATAATAATAGTAATAAATATTATGTCTCAAAAAGGTACTCATTAATATACAAAAGTATTGCTAACCGTCGATGATACACATTTATCTTAACTTCGCTAATTGAAACAAACCATTTCAATGGTAATTGATAAAACATATCAAAAGAATAATCACTATTTCCTGGTTTTGTCATTGTGTACTCTCTTTATTGTTTAATTTTACTTTATGGTAACAATTACTGTTAATAATAATACTAATACTAATAGTAATAATATTAATAGTAGTAAAAGTATTTAATTCCAAATTTATTTTATTTTATTTCGCATTACAAAAACGATCCATATGAATGCAAATATTGTATCTAATTATATCTAAATATATAAATATATATACATATTGATATGAAAAAGGATTTCCGCGGAATTATTGGCCGGTATGATTGCCTTTGTCAATTATTAACATACAATGAAAATCTGATACTATCACCTTTTATTTACAGTAACATACGCATATATATATACAATGCGCATAGACATTCATAGATGAAGAGATTATTCAATAGTACTGAATGTCTCATTAACATAGTATATATTATAATATTTGAAACAAACATAATTGATTCCATTCAAATTTTTTTTAATTTTAAAACAATATATACATAGCAACAATCTTGCACAGTAGTTTCACGATAGTGTTATTAGACAAGTACATATATTATACAACAAACAACACAACTTACAATAGGATGCCATATTTGTTAATTTGATTTCTTCATAATTTTGAACATTATAGTATAAAATAGAAAGAAAAAACAAAACAAAAACCATGGTGAATTGTGCATGAAGTCTTTGATTACTTTTATGAAATAAAAGAATTCTATTGTTTTCACTTGAATTGATTACATAATATTTCAATATTATTCATTGTGTAATGATCAAATAAATTGTCATTTAAATGTATAGTCATTCTGTATACAATTTATTTGACAGAAGGATCGTAATTATTAAAAACAAAACAAAACAAGACAAACAACACACACACACACAAAACAAACCTGTTTATCTCTATCTTTCATTTGTTAATTCTCATTAGAATGATGATACTTATCAAGTGCCTTTTTTCTTTTTGTAATCAATTTCATCAACAGATTAATGATATCGATTAGATCAATCAAACCAACACTTAAATAAACTGATCATTTTGTTGTGCGTTTTTTTGTTTTTTTCCTGTATAATTAATCAATAATCAATAATATAGGTCAATTAAAGTGATACTGATTAAGTGTCATGACATCAATAATCATGTTATAAAAACATGTTTATGAAAATGAGATAAAATATAAAACTTCTAATAACAACAATAACAATAATGGAGTATTATTTTGGTTGTTAAGTTTTTAATATAATTAAAGTAATTGCCATTATGATGATGGTTATTTTCTTTTCAGAAATCAACAGATTTAAATTATTTACAAATTAAAACAACATAGATCATCTGTTGATAACTAGATTTTCTTTTCTTTTCTTTTCTCTTTCTTTTTTTTATTTCAAATAAATAAATAAATAAATAGAATGTAATGTGTTTATATGGAATAATTTCTTAATTACTTCACTATTAACAACAAGAATAATAAGTAACTAATTAAATGATTCATTAATTCATTCGTTGATTAAGTAGCTAGATAAGTTGTTCATAGGCTTGAATGTATATTCTTACCTTTCTTTTTTTGTTTATCCCCTCTTTCTTTTTGTCATTTGTTGTGTTCTCTTAATTTCATTGAAAACAAAATCGATTGATTGACGAGTTGTCAATTAGCTAGTAACAGAATCAATTTACTTTCAATGGTTAAGATCATGAGTCAGTTGAAGCTAGACCACCAGGGAAAACCTGGAAGCACTGGACGACCGTTTTGTCATATCGTGGGACTCCTTAGCAGTGAGTATCCACGACCTCGCCCCCTGCGAGATTCGAGCCCAGGACCTACTGGTTACACGCGCGAGCACTTAACCCCTAGACCACTGAGCCGGTATACAACGGTGTTAATGTCTAACTTCAACTAATCCACGAAACTGAGTGACACATTCACCATTGTCTTTAGTGAGTTACTATCTCACAACAGACCTGGTTGAACTCCACTGGTCACCACTTCTCACTCGAACTCCAGGATATATATCTTGAAGCCAGTCACTAGTGAGCATATGTTGATTAATATCAGATGGGTTTTGTGCATATTATGGTAATTTCAATGGTTAAGATCGTGAGTCAGTTGAAGCTAGACCACCATGGATGTTAATTATACTTTAGGTATTAGGGGAATAATTTAGTACACATTTAAATAGTGATAGATTAGAAAATAGATAATACTATGCCAAATTCAAATGATTGATAATAATTGAATGAAAAGACATTGTTTATTTGTACATTGTGTACATGAGCGTTCTATGTGTTCAAGACTATAATGAATGAAATATGCCTATTTATTTAAATTTATTAGTGAAATACGAAATCATTATGACAATTATAAGGTATATGGTATAAAATTATTAAGTCGGAAAAAATCTACTATCCTGAAAATTTCCCTTGTTTATTGATCACTGTTGATTTGAAGTACTTAGTCCATTTGATAAAGTTAGATTGTGTAATAAGAAGATGAAGTTTATTAGAACTATGTGACATATATTAGCGCAATACATTTTAAAAAAATCTAATCATACATATATTTGTTAAGAGTATATATATAAATATAAAAGGTTAACTAGACTAGAGATGGAGAGTACGAGGAGACATGGATAATAAAGAAGATAATGTGAAAACAATTTGAAACCTCATCACTTTAAACAATAAGCTAATATCACTAGGGTAGGTTCAAGGTGAGAATAAATTATTTTTGAATACACAAAGAGGATTTGAATTTTTGTATGACTAAGGCTTCAATAAACCTTGGTGTATACCCTTTTACACTTTTGTACAACACCATAAAAGCCGTGTTGAAATCAATCTTATGATCCGTTTCAATTATGTGTTCACCAATAGAGGATGATGGATGTTTATCATCTACTTTTATTGAGTCATTTGATTTTATGTGTTTCTACAGCCATTGGGGTATGTGTTCACGATTACTCCTCCCTATGTATCTGTGGTAACAGATACATTTAAATTGATATACACAGTGGGATGTGATATAATCGTTTTCATGTCTTTTACGTTTTTGGTGAATCACAGACCTAGTTTTTTTCTGGTAATGACCCTAAGTACGTACTACGTTTCGTTAATAACCAATTTAAGCTTTTTTTCTATAAAAGGCTATTTGGATCATCTCCAAACGGTAAGGTGATGTAGATGGACATTTTTGTGCCAAGGCTATAATAGGTTTCACTATACCATGACCTTTCCATCTATTTATGAATTTTAGAGGACGGCTATTTTCCATTGTTTAACAACCTAACATCGTCATCAAAAGCGTCGATTAATTCTGTTGGAAAGGCCTCTTAATTATCCCCGTTCTTATTGCATTGGCTAGTAACTATAAACATTAAGGCACTTGCTTACTTACGCCTGTTACTCCTCGTGAAGGGGCATAGGCCGCTCACCAGCATTCTCCATCCAACCCTGTCCTGGGCAATCCTTTCTAGCTCCGTCCAGTTGTAATTCATCCTTTTCATATCTGCTTCTATTATCCGACGCAATGTGTTCTTTGGCCTTCCTCTTTTTCGCTTCCCTTCAGGATTCCAAGTTAGGGCTTGCCTCGTGATGCAGTTTGACGATTTGCGTAATGTATGTCCTATCCATTTCCATCGTCTTTTCCTAATTTCTTCTTCAGCTGGAAGTTGGTTTGTTCTCTCCCACAGAAGGCTATTGCTGATGGTATCCGGCCAATGGATGTTGAGTATCTTGCGTAGACAGCTATTTATAAATACTTGTACTTTCTTGATTGTGGTTGTTGCAGTTCTCCAAGTTTCAGCTCCATACACTAGAACTGCCTTGACGTTCGTATTGAAGATTCTCACTTTGATATTGGTTGAAAGTTGTTTTGAGTTCCATATGTTCTTCAGTTGTAGGAATGCCACCCTTGCTTTGCCGATCCTCACCTTTACGTCTGCATCTGAGCCTCCTTGTTCATCGATTATGCTTCCCAGGTATGTGAAGGACTCTACATCTTCCAGAGTTTCGCCATCAAGTGTGATTGGACTGCTGTTCTCCGCTTTGAATTTGAGGACCTTAGTTTTCCCTTTGTGTATGCTGAGGCCTACTGATGCAGAGACTGCTGCTACACTGGCTGTCTTCATCTGCATCTGTTCGTGTGTACGTGATAGGAGGGCTAGGTCATCTGCGAAGTCCAAATCGTCTAATTGGTTCTAAGCTGTCCATTGTATTCCGTGTTTTCCTTCAGATGTTGAGGTCTTCATAATCCAGTCGACCACCAGAAGAAAGAGGAAGGGAGAGAGTTAATAGCCTTGTCTGACCCCGGTCCTTACTTGGAATGCATCTGTCAGCTGTCCTCCATGCACTACTTTGCACTGTAGTCCGTCGTATGAGTTCCGGATAATATTGACAATCTTCTCAGGAACTCCGTAGTGTCGAAGAAGTTTCCATAATGTCCTCCTATCTACACTGTCGAATGCCTTTTCATAATCAATGAAGTTGATGTATAGTGACGAGTTCCACTCAACTGATTGTTCGACGATGATCCGTAGTGTTGCAATTTGGTCTGCGCACGACCGATCCTTACGGAATCCAGCTTGTTGATCTCGAAGTTGGGAGTCTACTGCATCCTTCATCCGGTTCAGCAACACTCTGTTGAAGACTTTCCCTGGTATTGACAGTAGTGTAATGCCTCTGTAGTTTTCACATTTGCTCAGATCTCCTTTCTTTGGAATCTTGACGAGGTGTCCTTCTTTCCAGTCCATCGGCACTTGTTCCTCCTCCCAAATCTTTTTGAATAGAAGATAAAGCATGCTTGTGGTTGTTTCGATGTCTGATTTCAGTGCTTCAGCTGGTATGTTGTCGGGTCCTGCTGCTTTCCCGTTCTTGATTTGTCTGACGGCCATTCTAATTTCTTCCGTAGTTGGTGGATTGACATCTATAGGAAGATCTATGTGTGCTGCTTCGATGTCCACTGGATTCATTGGAGCCGGCCTATTCAGGAGTTCCTCGAAGTATTCTACCCATCTGTTACGCTGTTGTTGAATTTCGGTGATTTTCCTGCCTTCTTTGTCTTTGACCGGCCTCTCTGGTTTACTGTATTTCCCTGCTAGTTTCTTCGTTGTATCGTGAAGCTGTTTCATATTTCCTTCTCTAGCAGCTTTTTCTGCCGTCGTTGCTAGTTCTTCAACGTATTTCTTCTTGTCGGCTCTAATGCTCCTCTTCACTTGTTTGTTTGCTTCTATGTATTCAGCTTGTGCTTGGACTTTCTCTGCTCGTGTTCGGCTGTTGTTTATTACTGCCTTCTTGTTCTTCCTTTCTTTGATCTTGTCCAGTGTTTCTGTAGAGATCCATTCCTTATGATGGTATTTCTTTAGACCGAGAACCTCTTGACACGTTGAAGTTAATGCTTCCTTGATGCCTTTCCAGTTGTCCTCCATAGTAGTTTCTTCTTCTTTCAGTAGATCTCGTAAGGCTTGGAACCTGTTGTTGAGAGCTATCTTGAATTCATTGAGTTTGTCAGTATCTCGAAGGAAGGCTGTATTGAACCTTTGTATTGCTGTTTGTCCACTTGTCCAGTTCTTTTTTAGCTTCAGTTTTAAATTGGCTACAACTAGGTGGTGATCTGAAGCTACGTCAGGACCTCTCCTGGTTCTCACATCTTCCATTGTCCTTCGGAATTTTTTGTTGATGCAAATATGATCTATTTGGTTCTCTGTAGTGTGGTCCGGTGAGATCCATGTAGCCTTGTGTATACGCTTGTGTGGAAATATTGTGCCTCCTATGACCAATTTGTTGAATGCACATAGATTTGCAAATCTTTGTCCATTTTCGTTTCTTTCTCCCAGTCCATGTCGTCCCATAATATCTTCATATCCAGTGTTGTCTATTCCGACTTTGGCATTTAGATCTCCCATCAGAATAGTTAGGTCCTTTCTTGGGCATTTCTCAATGATTGACTGCAGCCGCTCGTAGAACTGATCTTTAATTTCGTCGTTGCTATCATTGGTGGGTGCATAACATTGGATAATATTCATTAAGATCCCCTCCTTCTTTGTTTTGAATGATGCTTTGATGATTCTGGATCCGTGAGATTCCCATCCTACAAGTGCATTTCGTGCTACTTTGGACAGCATAAGAGCGACTCCCTGAGTGTGTGGAGCATTGTCCTCTTCGTGACCGGAGTATAGCAGCATCTCTCCCGTAGCTAGCCTTTTCTCTCCAGCTTGGGTCCAGTGGGTTTCGCTGATTCCCAGTACTGCTAAGTTGTATCTCCTCATTTCCATTGATATTTGACTGGTCTTCCCGGTTTCCCACATTGTTCGAACGTTCCATGTACCTATAAAAATTTTTGCTCTGGTTGTTAGAAGCGGCATCGGCCTCGTGGCTTCCGAAGGAACTCGGCTTTCACCATGAAGCGTCATAATTCTTCCAAACGAAGACCTTCTAACTCCCAGGGCAGAGTTAAAATGGTTTGGATTATTTTTTTCTGGTAAGCGTTTTTTTAGCGAGTTAGTTTTCTACGGGATGGGGACGCTAACCCCATGCCCAACCCTCCTCCTTTACCCGGGCTTGGGACCGGCAGCAACCCTATAAGAGCTACAGGCGGAGTTATTAAGGCACTTGCCTGTCCTATTTGGTTTTCTGAAAATGGATCGTTTCATCAAACTGTTTTCTCGTTTATTTAAAAATACATCTAAGAAGGGAAGCTGGTCGTTCGTTTCCTCATCATCTAAAAGACCGATGTAGATACTCCGGAATATAGAAGAAGTATCTAGAGAACATAGTGTAGAATATACATTAGAATGGATTATATATAAAAGTCATTGGGCTAATCATCATTTTGCTATTAAGTTGACAGAAAACCAACCCTCTTTATGATGAGAGAAATAGACTAAGGAACTTCAAGGTTTACAGCTACTATTTCTGATTCAGTGTCCTTACTTGATCATCTAACATTACATTCATATTTGCTCGTTAGTTCATGGTAACTTCCTTTTACAATCAATGTTCAACAAGTAATAATCTTACCTATAGTAGCCCAACATATTTATAAATGTATCTGATCATTAATAAAATCACCATGTTCACTGTTTGATTTAGCAAAACCAGTGAAATCCATCATGAATTCATAAAACTAAGCGACCGTTTAGATATTTTTGATCAGGTTTCTTGTATTGGTTTCGATAAAATTGGTCAATTCACTGCATCACCAACTTCATTAAAAGTAAATTTTAGACAGGGAATTATCTTTTATCGTGTTTAAGAATTCCTAATAGTGATATCTAGAAATCAACTGACTAGTTAGGTAATCATTCAAGATAATATGACTGACTGAAGCTTTTCAATACGATCATTAATTTTTATTCTCGTAAAGAATGTCAGCTTCATTTACAAGGAAAATATATTATTATGACAAGTCACAAAATCGATGTCAGTAACAGCTAAATGATACTAAAGTATTACAAAAAGTCGAAATATTTAACCCGTCGTTTTGATGAGCAATTTACCCCTAAACACTATCCATTAGTTTAGGACTCTTCATGAATATATATCCATAATCTTATGTAGGAATAGAGTCTCAAACTCCAGATCTTTGACCAATTATCAAGCACTCACCGTAACTTTCTTGGTTTCCAGTTGCTCTTGAAGTGATATCACATCGTGATTAAGTGAAAAGATTTTTAGGGCTTTTTAGTAAAATTTACAAGCTATACGTAACCACAAGTTCATTATTATTATCATTGTTAATAATAATAAAATCATTATTATTATTATTTTATTTGGTAACCGCAGACTGGATACATTTATAAAATCAGTAAACTTCATCAAATGTAACATTCAAGCTCCTACTCAAAGTAGTGTGTATTCTTGAAACTACCTCCTGAAAGATATATATATATATATATATATATATATATATATATATATATATATATATATATATATATATATATATATATATATATAATGCAACTCAATAAATAGGGATGTATCTATCTATTTAGAACATTATTTGCCACTTATAACAAAGTGATTGAGAATCGGCCTAACTTTCCGTAGCTTAAATGAAACCAATTCAGTAGATAAATTTCACTCTTCATAAGATTATTACTGGTTATAAAAAAAGTGTATTTTATTCACTCATACAATATTGTGTACTTGCGTTTATTGATTAAAAAATTTAATTAGATGAATCCAGTTTATTTATATACGACTTCTTCGTTAAGTAATCTTAGGTACATTACACTTTACTAAATATAGCCGATAACCAGTACATGGCACCCAGTTTTCGATAGAATAAGTCCACAATTAAAAGTTTGCAAACCCTTTTTGTTTTGAATCCAGCGTGAGTAAAAATTCTAAATGCAATCACATAGACAAAACTGATATTGTTGGCGCGATAGATTGGATCTGATATTCAGCTCCTTCTGATGGGTAAGAACTGTTTCACTGCTTATAGTGCCTTAAATTTGGCTAGAGATAGATTCATTTTTCGCTCTTATGACTTTATATCTTGGTAGGCTCATCAATATGAAATGCCATAAGTCTAGCCTTACCTTATGTTATGTGTTTGTAGAATGTATAGCGCAGTATTTCTAAACGATTCATTGACTTCCTCAAAACATGTTAGAAAAAGTTCATGCATACTGGACTCGTTTGAAAAACAACAATTTAAGACAATCAAGATAACGTTTAATGATTTTGATGAATTATTCTTAATTTACCAGTCAGATACATATTAATAACTAGTTCCAAAAATAAAAATGTACACAATAACCTAAACGTCATTGAACAAAATAAACTTACTGTACTCTAATGAATAAATAATCACAACAGGAAAACTAATTGTGCTGTGTGCTACTGATGTCAACAGATCAATCGAAAGTGAAATACCTGGCAGCAGAAGGTTAAGAAGATCGAAAAAAAGAAAATGAGAACAGAGTATAATTGTTGAAGAAATGAAGGAACAGTGAAGTCTGAGAGGATTGATTGCGATTTCCAAAAGGAACAGTCACTTTTCAGACAACTGATGAACATTTTGCAAATAAAGTATTTACTGTATGGTTCTCAGATTTTACTAAGACGTTGTGTGATTTCGTGATCAAATACATTTGATTGTTTCCAGTTGCGTTCTCGTTCACAACAATATTATTAAGTCATCCAAATCATGCAGAAAGCAGTCAAAAAATTATGATAAATGATGAGACGCATAAATTCTTATGCATGGAGGAAAAATAAGTTTTTAATTAAGTTAGATAAGTCAAGGTGTAAACATAGATAAATTTAGAATTTTCTTTATTAGCTTCTCTTATTTAATAAAGAGATCAGTTAATTGAGAAATCCATGATCGATAAAGTAACCTTAAAATATAATCATGAGATACTCAGCAAAACGTTCATTTCCATTATTTAACCAGGATCCAATAAGAGCATTTAATTCACTTAAACGTTTGTGTTTCAACTGACAACAAATATGCTCTATTGACAATTGAAAAGGAATGTTATACCTACATCTGACATCATTGTAACTAGATGATAGCAACTGTTTAGGGGTTCTCAATATTTACCTAACAAAAGTGAGTTCGTGATGTGAAATTTTAAACTCAACACATCAATACCCTATGATATCAATACGCTAATTTCAGGCTTTATGTCGTTAATACGTTTTGTCAGTACATATATTGTGCCCGCGATTTGACTCCATAATGAATGACGAAAGAACGAACGAAGAGTGAACCACCAGTTAATTATTAATCTTGATGTAAAAAATGTTCATTTGTTTCAGTTCAAGAATAACCAGCTATCTAACACATATTATATCTAAAATCTTAATGACAAAATGGATAGACTTATTATATAATTCACTCAATACAATAGGAATCACATAATTAAAAGATTCATAAGAAATATTACTTTTGATTTCGAAAATAGATGAAAGTTTGCTGGATGCCGAAAATTCATTAGCAAACAGCTTACTAATATACATACATCACTAAGTCTAGCGTTTGGTAAAAGAACTATCAATCCATCAACAATATTTATATAATATAGTACAAAATTTTCCTAAATAAATTATGATTATTTCTCAAATTCTTTAACGACTTTTATTACATCATCAATAACTAACAAAGCAATTTTTCATAATCTCTTGTAAGGGCTGACCCTATGACGAGCCAACATAACTTATTCTAGCTTCTGGACAAACCAATTTATCCATTTTTCTCAAGCTACATTTTGACCTTGTCAATTATTCACTTATCAACCTTGATTTTTTATATGAGCGTATGTGTGTGCAACTCTTATCTTACTCATCACATGTCTACAGCTGATTTTTGTTCGACAATAAATTTTGATTTACGCTTGGTTGAATCGAGTTGGCTCACACGCCTTCTTCACTGCGCATCATTTCGCTTCCTTCTGATTGTCTGTCCAGATCAATGAGTTAACAAAATATACGTATTAAAAACTTCATTCTCGTATTTGACTTACTCAATTTCGTTATACACTAACAGGATTAAAGTCGATGATTATATACGAGGACAGTCAGGATGTATATTTCGACAATCATCATTTGTCCGATATAACTGGAGTCAGATACAGGGCCACTAAACTCTCTCACATTTATTGATTAGTACTCTTCTATAGTAATCAAATACTAAAAAAAGTATTTTAGCAGTATTTGTCAATTTTGCGCCCTGTTTCAATTCTATGTTTCGCTATCGATGAACCTGGTTTTCTACCTCCTACATTGATCGGATCATTTGACACAAATTGATATTGAAGCCATCTAGGTACATGTTTATTGACCCTTGATTGTATTGTATTCTACTTTTCATCATTTGAATAAGAATATCTAACTGATTTGTTAGTACAAAGAGAATAAATTATTCAGGGATAAACAAACAAGTGAATGAGTGAGTGAGTGAGTGATAGTATATGACTAACGAAGATGGCAGTTATTTTTTTGTTTTTTTTTTACAAACAAAACAATTTCTCTAACCCTTCAGTGATTGTATTTTTCTTTTATGTTTTTGACTATTAATTCTAAACAAATAGATTTAGCGAAATATGAGAGATAATGTTGGATAATTGTTTTCGTGACTTTTTTTCTTTATTCTGAAGTTTGTTTACCTACACAATGTTATTATTGTTTGTTTTTTCTTTTTGTTTCTTTTTTAAGCTAATACATTTCGTGTTTGCTTTCTACAGTCAACATCAGTGTTTTGAGTAGATAAACAAAATGACCAACGTTTTATGCATAAACAAATAAATAAATAAATGGTATAATGAAAATTTAATAATCCATTCAAAGATTCAATTTTGATAAGAGTTGAATAACTAATATACATAGATTGGAAAGATAAATATATAGAGAATAAATTAACTGAATAAAACAAATTTCATTGAAATACATTAATTCAATCAGAGAATGTAAAATAGTTTTGGTTGGTAAGTTTAGAGATTGATACTTGTTGATGATTGAAAAGGAATAATGGGTTTATTAATAGATAAGATGAACTATCTAACATGTTCAATATAAAACTAGTGCGTGACTAACTAGTATGCAGCATTTTTGATTAACCAACTGAATTAAGTGAGAGTAAATCTCTTTGCCTGTAGACTTTCTAGAGTTACTGCTAGTCTCAAACCTGGGTAAAAGAGGAGGATTGGACTTGGTGTCAGTAACCCCATTTCGTAGAAAATAACCGTACTCAGAAAAAGACGCTGACTAGAAAAAACCCACTTAAACTCTGCTCTGGGAGTTCAAGGATCTTCATTCGGAGGAATTAAGACGCCTTATAGTGCTAGCCAAGGTTCTTGAGAATTTAAGAGGCCGATGCCCCTTCTGGACGACTAGAGCAACATTTAACACAGATACATGGAATTTTCGGACAACGTGTGGGACCAGGAGAACCAGTCAAGTGGCTATGGAAATGAGGAGATACAACTTGGTAGTGTCACGTATAAGTGAAACCCATTCGACACAAACTGGACAAAAAAAGATTAGATTCCGGAAAGATGTTGTTGTATTCTGGTCGCGAAGTAAATGCTACACAAACACAAGGATTCCCACTGATGCTGTTCAAAAAAGCGCGTAGAACTCTCTTAGTATGAGGATTTCATGGGTCCAGAATCATTATAACATGTTTCAAACCAAAAAAGCGAGGAATCACAATGAATTTGAATGAAGATCCATGGAGGAAGTAAGATCAATAAGGGGACATAGCTTACATGACTTCAGATAACCACCTGGTAGTGGTCATGGCGGAACTGAAGCTAAAGAAGCACAGGGGAAACAGCAATTAACAACTGCCAAACAAGAACAGAGAAAGACAAGTTGCAGGCCTAATACACAGAAGCAATCAAACAACTGGAGAAGATCATCAGAGTCGACAAGCAGAAATACGTGGGTGACCTATACATGACAGAGAAAAAGTTACAAGAGATGTAAATATGAGACAACTTTATGATATATTTAAGTAACTAGCAGGGAATTATAATAAACCAGAGAGATCAGTCAAGAACAAAGAAGGTAAGCTAATCACTGAGATTCAAAAACAGTGGAACAGGTGAGTAGAGCACTTTGAAGAACCCTTGAATGGACCAGCGTCACTGAACTCTTCAGATGTCAAATGAGCATACATAGACCCTCCCACTGAAATCACTTCACCAACGATTGGAGAAATTACTACGGCTATCAGGCAAAACAAGTGGGAAAGCAGCAGGACCATAATACCTACCGGATGAAGCACTGAAGTCAAAATGCAAACATGCCCTTCGCTCTATCCAGGAATATTTGGAGGAAGAACAAGTACCGACGGTTTGGAAAGAAAGACACCTCATCATGTTACCAAAGAAAGATCTCAGAAAGTGCGAGAGGTATCAAAACGCTATCAGTTCCTGAAAACGTTTTCGATCGAGTACTGCTAAACCGAATGAAAGATTCAATAGACGCGCAACTTTGAGATCAACAGGTTGGATTCCTCAAGGATCAGTCGTGCACAGACAGAATCGTGACACTACAGATCCCCATTGAATAACCAACTGAATATAAATCGTCACTGTACACTGACTCTCTTGATTATGTGAAGGCGTCTGACAGTAATGATAGGCGAAGTTTGTGAAAACGTTTTCGGCACTATGGTGTCTTTAAGATGATCATAAACATCATCCGGATTTCATACGATGGACTTCATCCCAGTGTCGTCCATGAAAGACAGCTGACAGATGGATTCCAAGTAAAGACCGGAGTCAGGCAATTCTGCCTACGTTTTCCCTTTCTCTTTTGTTCTGGTGGTTGACTGCATTATGAAGACCTCCACATCTGAGGAGAAGAATGGAATATAATGGACGGTATGGATGCAACTAAACGATTTTGACTTCGCCGGTGACCAAGCTCTTCTACCCCATAAACACCAACAAATACAGGTCAAGGCAACCAGTGTAACAGCAGCCTGTGCTTCAGTAGACCTTAACATACACAGTCGAAAAATCAAGATCCCCAAATACAACGTAGAGAACATCAACCAAACTTTACTTGATGAATAAGCATTGGAAGAGGTGGTAAGTTTTGTGTACCTGAGCAGCATCATCAATGAACAAGGAAAATCTGATGCAGATGTGAAGGCAAGGATTGGCAAAGTAAAGGCAGCATTTCCAAAATTAAAGAGCATACGGAAGTCAAAACAACTGACAACCAACACCAAAGTCATAATCTTCGACACGAACGTCAAGACACTCCTACTATACGGAGCTGGAACATGGAGAACAGATACAACCATCATCAAAAATATGCAAGTATTTATAAATAATTGTCTACTCAATGTTCGTTGGTCGGATGCAATCAGCAACAACCTACTGTAGAAGAGAACAAACCAGCTTCCAGTTAAAAAGGAAATTAGGAAGAGACACTGATGGTGGATAGAACAAATACTGTGGAAATCATCAAATGGCATCACGAGGCAAGCCCAAACTTGGAATCCTGAAAAGAAATAGGAAAGGGGAAGACCATGAAACCCACTGCAATGACAATCGGAGGCAAACAACAAAAGAATGAATAGCATTTGGAAAAAAACTGAAAAGGGATGTCAAAACATAGTCCTATAGATAATGCTAGTGGACTCCCTATGCCCTTACACAAGAGCTACCAGGCATATGCAAGTAAGTAGGTGACTCCGCTACAGTTTTTTCACAACAATTTATTTAATACCGAATATTAGACATTGATTGCTAAAAATACTAATGAGTTAACTTCTAAATAAATCCACTATTTGATACATGATATTTTAATAATGCTTTCAATCGGGTGCTATTAGTTGTTATCAGTAGATACTTTTGAAGTCATTTGACGTAGTAGTCATTCGAAGATTCTTAAGTAGTTCGGTAACTTTCCTATCTTAATTTATGTACCTAAACTGACCTTGATATTTCCAATCATTCTAGTATTTGTTTTTAAAAATTCAAAGAACATAAAAAGAAAACGTTCGAGTCAAAACAGCGACAAAAATTTATGACTATGAAAAATAGAATTAGTGGTTACGAATGTATCAACTGCATTTTAGACACTTGGTAGCAGATTTGAACTTAACGAATTTTATAACTATTTACAAAACTTATTTGTGTATCAATTAGTCACATAATATTTATAATTCAAATTAGATTAGCACACCTTCTAGATGGCTTCAACTTGAACATTTCATAATATAAAACTTCCATCAGACTTTGGTATTGTCAAATAGTATTGATACTTGAAATTAATGACCATTTAAATTAAATGACACAGGCAAAATAACTACAATTAATAGATATTCATTTTTATACATGTAGGAGTGTGTGAATTTGTAGTCTCATTTAAACACACATTTATCCAAGGCATCTTTGATTACTATAGTAGACTGTATGAACAATTGTAATCTTGATGATTATTTTTTACTTTAAATAATGTTCTAATATTTCATGGTATATACAAATTATCTACTGCTGTAGTTTTCTAAAATGTATGTTATTGGATCACTTAACTGTCATTTTAGATTTTAACTTGATCCACAATGATAATAGCTAGAACAAAGATTCATTAAACCAAATTCCTGTACGTTAATATTAATATTGGTATTTTGTATAGGCATTGTTTTTAACACACATGTATTCTTTTCCTATTTATTCAAATACTAGCCACATTACTTACTAATCATCTCTCATAGAACGTAATCAAGCATTTAAGTTCCTTTATTTTTTCTACCTTCCATTCATTCATTCTTTCTTTCTTTCAAACCAGATTCAATTTATATCTTCCTCTTATTTTTTCAGGGTATATACTGAAAATTCATGATTTCTAGTTGAATTTCCTTTTTGATTTTCTTAACCTTTACATTTGATAGATAAAGTTTTTTCTCTCAATCTCTCCCTCTCTCTCTCTCTCACACTTAGATTAACTTCACCTAATCTGTAGATCTAGTTCCCTTTTCTTTCCTTCTTTCTTTTTCCCCTACTTATACTATAACCATTCATAGTTGACTATCATAAACTCTTTTGTCAAGAGAGTCATAAAAGTTATTTTTTAAGTTGTTTATTTTTCACTAAATATATAAATTTATTTTATTATATTCTTATATGGTTATACATTAGGTATGTATTGGAATGTAGTGAGTTTTTAAGTATAATAATAATAATAAAATCAACGAAATGGCAATAACACTTAAACTGAATTCTTAACTTTATTTAGTACTGACTTATATTATGATCAGGAAATATACAATATTTATTTAAAGTGAAGATTTTAAAGAAACCCTCTATGCATTATTAACAACATGACCACTTTTACGTTTTATATTAGATGAAAATAGAAATCTTTAAGAAAAAATTCTAAATCATTTCAGTTATGAATTGAAAAAAAGTTGTGAAATGAAGAAAAATATGAAGATTAATTGATGTATATTTTTCATTTAATAGTTGAATTCATGAGTCAATTAAAGCTAGACCACCATGAGAAACCTGAAAACACTCCTCAGCAGTGCGCGTCCACGATACCGCACACAGGATTCGAACCCAGAACCTAAAGGTCTCACACGCGAACGTTTAACTTGTAGATTACTGAGCTGGTTGTCATCCACCGGTGTTAATGTCTAATTCCAACCAATTCACGAAATTGCACCACTGTCCATTATTGTCTTCACTGGGTAATTGTCTCACATCAGACACGGCGTGACTCCACTAGTCACGTCTTCTCATCAGAACTCCATAAGATACCTCTTGAAGCCAGTTACTAGCGAGCATATAATGATTATAATCAGACTCATGAATTCAACTATTAAATTACTATAATATTCATAAAATCCCTTTTTGAGTATTATTTTTACTGATATACCATTGAATTATCGCATAATTTCTACTGCTTAAACTTTCATTTAAAACTACCGAGTCCCACGATGGAACGAAACAGCCGTCCAGTGCTTCCAGGTTTTCCATGGTGGTCTAGCTTCAATTGACTCATGATCTCAACTGTTGATTTTACTACAATCTCCACAAAACCCCTTCTGATACATCAAATTAATTAGCTAAAAATTCATTTAACAGAATCTTTAATTAAGATCAGTTCTATTATTAGAACACCGAAATTCAAAGATCATATCGATAATAATCTGAAATTGATCAGTAAAATATGTTATTTTACTTAGTAATTCGAGAATAATAAGTCAGTGGATGATATTAAGAAAATAAAAATTCTAACACTATTTTATATGAATCTCTGTTAAAATATGATGTAATTTGAGTAAAGAAAATAAAACTTATATTTTAACGTAGAATTATTTAACGGCAAATGTAACAAATGGTAGTTGTAACTTATGAATGTTGAGACTTATCAATCATAAGCTCATTTATGTCGTTTTTTAGGGAAAAATTACATTGTCATGATGCATCTGCTAATTCATGAGAATTCATGATTCAACTAAAGTTTCTTGTGTATTTAAGTCAAATTTATTTATAGAAAATGATCTCAGTAACCGCTTCCTATATTCACTAGTATTATCAAGCATATTAATGAGTGTAATAAAGTAATCTTACACCGATTGACCGATGAGTAATGACCAATATATTATGTATCTAGCCCATAGTGCTGATTGGATTCTGTCGATCGAATTGGAATGTAACCAGTAGAGTCAATGACTTGACATTATGAGCCCTAATTTTTTTAAAACTTAAGTTGGTTTGATGTAGCTGTTCGGAATTTCTAGACCTAGACATCGGACTAGTTGGCACTCGTTAGCGTATACTTGTGATCATGAGAAAACTGATGAAATTCGACTTACAGAACTTGATCAGCATTCGGATAAACAAACGTGACATTAGTTACTACTCAGAGATGAATCAGTATAAACATATATCTCAGTCCTGTGGGAAGTCGGTTGCAACTTAATGTACTTAGTTGTAACATCTTTAATTGTGAATTTACACCAAGCGAGTTTGTATATCACGGACAATACCAATTCCGTCAAAATATCAGGCATGCCTTGGTAAAAGCTTACCGCTGACTACCTCCAATTATCACACTTATACCATTTTGCATGTGATTGCTGAATTGTGTAGAATCTTAATAAAATATATATGAGATAATTACGTACAAAATCATGACCTTCAAATAAATTACTCATTCCTACCGTGTGTCTTTTTTTCTTTTAGGGTTCTATTCATCAGTTATCATTCATTAATCAGTTCTGATATAACTATGCGATTGTAGATTAGAAAGAAATAATTCTGTAAAGTTATTTTACATTCACTTGAATAAAGTCGAATTAATCATTTGTGTTTATACCAAGAATTTCACATTAAAGAAACAGAATAATAAATATGAAGTAATCCATTTATCTGCTAGTATACACATATTGAAATAAAACAAAGATTATCAATGTATGCCCGGCAACAAATAATAGATTATTTTGAAAATTATAGAAGTTCCTTTAAAAAAAGAATTCCATTTTATGATTAATCTGTTCAACCAGGTTATTATTATTATTTTTTGTATCCGTGCCTGAACAATTATTTGTGTAAACAACTGTTTTCTCGAAAATTTCTGAGTAAATAACTTAAATTTTTCTCTTAATTACCATAGTTTGAATGTATAAAAACAGCTTTAAACAATATGAATATGTGGTTAATTGTTTGATTGTGATTTGGTACTAAAAAAGTCTCTTTTTCTTTATACAATTCATTTGTAATTCTATACTGATGTAGTAAGCAACTGATTCTTTTCTATAAATAAACTAATTTTAACGACTTGAATATATGCAATACTCTATTTGGTTTGATTTATCAAGTAGTTTAATAGAATGCAAAATCAATTATGAAACAAATCAACTATACATTTTATAATCACAGATGTTTTATGGTATGCTTATATACCGATGTTCGTTGACTTTCTTTTGATATTTACCGCTCAATGTTACCAGTCAATTGAATACTTATATGTCATTCAATTTAATGCCCTCAACTAACTTAATTATGTATGTATAATTATATATATAATGGATTAATTTATAAATGATGAATGGTGTTGAAATACAAACGAATTCATTTGCACTACGAATCCGACATTTTCATAATAATAATAATAATAATTTGAATAATTAAGTAACATATGAAAAGCTTAATCGATCAGCATAATTTAATTTATGCATAAAAGAAACATTCTATTGATGGGAACTATTTATCGATATTTTTATATAGTTTTCTTTTAGTTAAATTTCATTTATTTAGAAAACAAGCATAGGAACAGTGTACTGGATCAATCAATAACATTTTGATTTACAGATTGATCATTCATGCGATCAGTGAGTATTTTTGTTTCTCGAATACTTTGGCATCATATCGCTTGATGACATAGTACACAAGAGTGTTATAAAGAAGGAGATTAACAATCGTCATATAAATAGAGCTGTAGATAACAGATTAACTTCTTGTCAACTGAAAACGTAGTATAGATAACTG